AATGAAAAACCCTTCGATATCTAACAAAGCTAGAAAGCAATATTTTAAATTTTTTGTGTACTAAATTTATAGGAATTCGTTTTTAGTGTTGACATGTGTTGTCACACAAGAGGACCTAACATCTGTGGCCTTCTACGAGGTTTAGTTTGGTTGGTTTATTTTGTTTTACGGCATATCAACCTCAATGGGTTATTTAATGCCGACAAAAAATTTTATTGCTGGTAATATTTTGTTTTGTCAAAAATCTTTGTTTCTGGTAACATATTTCCTTCAAAATTAATTTTCTGGTAATAATTTTTTTCAAAAAAGTATTGCTGGTAATAGTTAATTATTTACCCATAGCTGGGGCCCTAACAGATGCTACCATTCCGGGTCAGAGTGGACCTGGGAACACCAGCAATTAAGAGGTGGTTCCACGCTCCTCAAAACCTCCTCATCAGAGGCCTTGCTGCTGGATTTAGCTTAACGTCTTACCCAGGACGCGGATGTAGTTTATCGTCTTACTCAGGAGGAGCCTTCGACGAGGACTACAGAAGATCACAAATATTAGTAAAATAAAGAATATCTGTAGCCTTTAATAAAAAGTGTTTACCGAAATGGAGATATCTTCATTTTGCACTATGATGCAAGTCAATGTTTCCTTGCAATACAAGTGGTTGGGAGAAATTTTGGGGCTCGGAAAAAAAAGATATAACTATTTTAAGTGAATTTCAAAGGCAATATTTAGATAAAAAATATTTCAAGTTTCATATAAAAATATGAAAGTTGGTACTCTATGTCGTGATAGACACTTTTTTGTCGCCAGAATCCACTTTAGATGTAGCATTCGTATTTGCTTTGAATATTGCTGCCTCATCTGGTCTGTTGCTCTTGCTTTATATTTAGAGATTCTTAATAAAATCTAAAGAAGAATCTGCAATGTTATTGGTCCTGACCTGGCATCTCGGATTCAGTTCCTACCCCACCGCCGTAGCTTCCCTCTGCCTTTTCTATAAATACTTGCATGGTAATTGTTCTGATGATCTTCCCGGTAAGTAAGAATGTGTTGTTTTCGTGTAAGGAATACTGTTGTATGTTTGGGTCAATAATTGTGTCTAGCTAAGTTTAAGAAAAGACAGATTAAAGACCATCCTCCCCTCTCCCCCTTTTTTTCCTTTGTGTCATATTTTAGTATTTTCGAAACAAATATTACTTTCCATTATAGTAACTAGGCTTTATGAATTTAAGCGCATTACTAGTTTGTCTCATCATTTTACAGTCAAAATGGTTGGATGTAACCGCAAGTTCTATGCTAACTGTTTCTTCTATAGCACTTCTCGCTTGCGGAACTCTCTTTCGGCTTCTTGGTTCCTAGTAAACTTTGTTCTTCAAAAATGTTAATCCAATGTCAATCGTTATCATCTGTCTTCGTTATTTTTGTTCTTTTATTGTTTTCTCCCCTTAGTAGTAGTTATTCTCGTATTCTCAGTAACCCTCTTGCGTCCTAGTGGCTTTATTGCCTTGCTTGGGGCGAAATCATTAAAAAAAATAAATTCAAAATAAAAGACTGAACCATTTCTGCAAATACAATGAGTTGAGATATATTACATTACCTACCAACTACAAACTATAATTGAAAAGAATTTATTCAAGCTTAACATAAAATTTATTTTTACTACTTCAAAAACAATAAGAGACTTAGTTAATGCAAAACAAAATAATAAAACGCTAAAACATACAGGAGAAATTGACTCTATAACCTGTAATAATTGTTACAAGGATTACATCGGTAAGACCTCTGGGAATTTAAATAAAAGAAAACAAAACGGATATTTTAAAAAACAACACATTAGTCGCTCATCATAATGAGTCTGACGGTAATTTCGATTTAAAAATACTGCTTTAATTACAAGAGAAAATTTATTGAAAGGTAAAGTCTATAGAAAGTGCATGAATTGCTAGATTCTCCACGGTACAATTTGTGCCAAGGCTCTTACAACATTTCGCTTTCCTTGGCAGATCTTCTATAGGTGCGTATCAGACAGAAATGTCGTTGGAAAAGCAGTAACCCAACGACGTAACCACGTGTGAACGAAGATGAAAAAGGAGACAACATTGTTAATTCTTCATTTATCTAAGGTATTTGTAGATTTTAAATGGCTCGCATAGTGAATGACATTCAGCTGTTGATATAGTAACAGATAGAAAGGGTTTAGGCTACGGGAGGAAAGCTATAAGAGCTTACCTGTAGCGTTATCGTTAGCCAAAGTTACCAGGCGAATGAAGGCCTACCAGATAGGTTATGGTCATCAGATTAACCCTTCCAGAAAATTTTACCTGCGTACAATGCAACCGGTCACTGAAAATGCATGATTTTTAACCTCTTAAAAAGAATTGCCTGTGTATAGAGTAATTACCCTTTTTATTAGACGATCAGTTTTGGATAACTGCTTTTTCTGCCACTTTTTGCTAGGTAATTTCACTAGGTTATAAATCTCTAACATGTCATATCTGCAGTTGATGACTTTTTTGACCAACAGTTTGAAGCCTCTTCACCAATAGGATCCAAACACTGCAACACCAATGGAAAGAAGAGTGTGGACTTCAAGGAGGACTATGTTGAAAAATAAACCTCAATTGGTCATATTCTATGAGAGTATCTTTGTCAGCCTATGAAACTTTCAGCTGACCTTCATATTTGTCAAGTTATGATTGTTTGAAGTTAATTAAAACTTGTACAGGTTTTCTCATTTTTTTTTTAATGATCAGTTTTGGATAATTGCTTTTTCTGCCACTTTTTGCTAGGCAAGGCATTAGAACCTTGTTGAAATTAATTTCATAAGTGACAAATAAAGTTTAACTTGATATTCTTTTTTTAAAAAAGACCTATATCAAGTGAATTTTGATGCCTTACAATACAAAAATTCAGTCAAATTAATACATTTTTTGCCATATTTTGCCTTTGTTTTTTTTTTTTTTAACTCTGATCCATCAACTTCAAATTACAGTAACATGACAAATTTTTTTCTCCTTTTTTAATATAAATGCCCAAATATTAAAATAATGTAAATCTGCAAAATGTAAGAAAATTGTTCTCAAGAGGGTAGTCACTCTTGGACATCGCAGACAAGAATATAAGGACCACATTTCCAATGAGACGGAGCCAAGGTCTGCTCACATAGATTGGTTGACAGTAAAGGACTGGAATAAAATGTAATACTACATATGGCAGATTAATCATGTATTATCATTTATTGTCATGAGTGTACTATCACATTTAAGTGTTCTCATATTCAAATATACTAAATGAAATCCGTCCTGGGTATGACTATAAACTACATCCGCGTCCAGGGTAAGACGTTAAACTACGTCCAACAGCAAGGCTTCTGATCAGGAGGTTTTGAGGAGCGTGGAGCTACCTCTTAATTGCTGGTGTTCCTAGGTCCACCCTGACCCGTGGTGGTAGCACCTGTTAGGGTCCCAGCTATGGGCAAATAGTTAACCCCGAAACTGGGGTAAAAAGCATTATGAAAGTGTAAAAATAAGTTTTAATATCAGAAATACTTTGTAAAAAAAATATTACCAGAAATAAATTTTTGAATAAAAAAAACTATTACCAGCAATACGTTTTTGAAGAAAAATATTACCAGCAATACATTTTTTAAAATAATATTACCAGCTATACATTTTTGAGGGAAAAATATTACCAGAAATAGATTTTTGACAAGAAATATTACCAGAAAAAAAGTTGTCGGCATTAAGTGACCAATTGAGGTTGATATGCCGTAAAACAAAACAAACAAACCAAATAAAATAAAGCATAAATGAATAGATACTGGCCTTTTTTAAAGTGTTGGTAATGTCAGATAATGCAATCTCTCCCAGAAATGCTAATTACCATATGTACTCGTGTATAAGTCGACTTTGTGAAACCCTGAATTTTTGGCATGATATTTAACACCCACCCCCAGAAACATTTTACATGTGCATAGTGCAGCCGCTCACTGACAATGTATGATTTTTAACCTGTTAAAAAGAATTGTCTGTGTATAGTGCATTTTTGGTGACACAATATTAATCATAGCATCAATATCTATTTTGGATCAGTGGGGCCAAGGCCTCCTCCCATACATTGGCTGACAGCAATTAATGAAGTCAAAAAGACCGATTAATCTTGTATTATGATTTGTTGCGAAGAGGGTACAATCACATTTATACTAAGTGTTCCCATAGATGGCTGTCATGCGAAATGACGTTCTACAGATATGTGCTGACATTACCATGAACCAAACATGTGAGCAACGACGAGGTTTTGGAGAGAATGGAAATGAAGAGGAAACTTATGCTTAACATAGGGAAGAGGCAACTGAAATTTCTAGAGACATAATGAGGAAAGATGGAAAATCACAGGACACATTGAGGGAAAGAAAGCAACGCGTAACATAGTTGATGAGATTGAGCAAATGAATGGTAGAAGATGTCTTGGGATAAATAACAAAAAAGATAAAACTTACTAATAGCTACAAGGGACAGGAAGATGTGGAGAGCCATGATCGCCTACGTCCTGAATGGACACGGCACAAGTTTCCATATTCAAATATGCCAATTTACCTATATGAAATAAAGCATAAATGAATACGAAATTTGAATAAGCTAATTTGTTTGGAAAAATACTTTAACAAAACCCCTACTTCGCGGTTTTTACGGATCCTAGTAAAACCAAACCGTATTTTGTACCCCACTTACTTGTTTACCCTTCTCCCCAAACTTTGTTTTCGATCAGCTAATGTATGGTTACTTTAGAAGGTGTGATGGATGGACGGACAGAGGGAAGTCACAGAATTTTATATAGAGATTGATGAATAAAATAATGAGAAAAATAGATATGCCAAAGTAGTTTTCATTTTATTTTAAAATAATTTATAATCCATCTGATAGCTCTTGAAATGTTTTTTTGTTTTTCACCTTCTTAGTCACGAACGACGTTATTCTGATCTTTGTATGATTCTACCACAAAAGAACTGTTCCCCTACGATCACCGAAGTTAAGTAACATCGAGCCTGATCAGTAGTTAGATGGGTAACCATTTAGGAATACCAGATGTTGTAAGCTTGGATGTGCGGATGGTGTGATGTATAACGAGTCGGAATTGTAAATCGAGGATTCAAGTTCCATTTCTGTTCGGGTTCGTTATATTCACCTACGTACAAATACCATTGGGAAACGCATGAATACACCTCTTCTCTTCCCCAGCTATGGATTAATTAGTAGGACTTGTATCAGTAAACTTTTATTATCTCTAAAAACAAAATATTACAATGTAAGTAATATCATCTGGTTTTAAATAACTTGCAAAAACGTTGATAAGTCGTAAAATAAACAATTCACTTAATCAATCAATCTTTGACGCTTTGCTTAGAAAAACACATTGATTTGAAATTGTTGCAGCTTCCACATTTGAATACAGCATTTTTTTTTTTTATTCCCTGTCTTAGATTTATTTTATTCCCTGTCTTATATATTCTGGGGACTTCTTTTCAAAAAGTTATCTATCATATACAAATAAAACTGCTTGTAATCCATAAAAATATCATGATTAAAATCAGAAACTCCTTGACAGAGTTATTCAGTTATAAACTACTTAGAAATTTAACTTGCTACTCGATAAATATTAAGAAGAACACGTTTTGTGGGATGTTCAAACAGCTCATGACAATAACGGAGTTTTAATAGGAATAGATATATAATCTATCGCTAAAGATGCTGGTAAAATGGCCGGATTCTTGTAACAGTCCACTAAGTACATGACTCACCTTGCTATGCTCTATATTTACAAGAGCCAGATGAGACCTAAAATGAAGTATTGTTGCCATATCTGGGTTGAAGTTGCTTATTCGTCACTTACCTGTCTTGGTAGTATTTAAAAGCGTCTACATTGCCGTGTGGCTGATGAATTATATTCCATCAAATAAACTCCTTCGGGCAGACAAAACGTTCTGAACTACATCCCTTGATCCCTTACCTTTTCAACTGGGACTCGCCATGTCCCGTACAAAGGAGTGAATCATCCCCGTTCTCTACGTATTCCATTCGTAAGAAGTTCCACTCGGACAGTTCTTTCCAAGAACTGCTGCAATCTTCAAGTTTGGATTTAACCGTTATCTTTACTGAATAACCTCATGGATTTCACTTTTTGTTTTTGTTTTTCTTACAACACCACACAGTAACCTCGTAACTTGAGTTGCACTTGGGCCTTGTTTGGGGTGAATATTAGTATAAAAAGATACTATTATAAATGATCTTTGCTTAATGGTCATATGCGTGTAATTCACATGAAAATTATGACTAAAATAGTACATTTTCAGAGCACAACAGATTAGTTCAATTAGTCACATATATTTTTAATACAACATTACCGCAGGGAGCATTATCACAGCATTAGAATGGTGAGGTTTTGAAGCAACCCATTTAAAAGAGTAGATATAAAAAATTAAATTCATAAATTTTTTTTATATGTCCTTATTCTATATTTCTATATTCTTATTCTGTTACATATAACATATACTTATTCTTTTCTTAAATATTCTTATTTTGTTATATATTATATTATCTTATTCTTTTGTTATTCTATTACACACACACACACACACACACATATATATATATATATATATATATATATATATATATATACTTATTCTGTTTTGATATATTCTTATTCTATTATATATGTTCTTATACATTCTTAGATATTCTTATCCTATTATATATTGAATATATTCTTATTCTATTCTGATATATATTATCCTATTAAATATTCTTATTTAATTGTTAATTCATTGCATATTATATATTCTAGTTTTATTCTGATATATTCTTATTCTATTACATATTGTGTATACTTATTCAACTTTTATATTTTCTTATTCTATTGCATATATATTCTGATTTTATTCTTCTATATTTTTATTCTTTTATATTTTTATTCTTTTATATATTATATATTCTTATTCTATTCTTAGATATTCTTATTTTGTCACATATTATATATTCTTATTTTAACTTAATCACTTAAATATATATATTCTTATTCTATTCTTAGATATTTTTATTCTATTTTGATATATTGTTATGCTTATTCTTATATATTATATATTCGTGTTTTCCATATATATATATTTTTATTCTATTACATATATATGTTGTCTTATTCTACTCTTAAATATTCTTAATCTATTACATATATTCTTATATGTTGTCTTATTCTACTCTTAAATATTCTTATTCTATTACATATATATTCTGATTCTATTCTTATATATCCGTATTCTATTCTTATATATTGTTATACTATTTCATATCTATATATTTATTCTATTCTTATATATTCTTATTCTATTCTCAAATATTCTTATTTATTACATATATATTTTCTTCTATTTTTATGTATCCTTATTATAGTATATATTCTTTTTTATCTTTGTATACATTTTTGTTCTATTACATATTACATTCATGATATGTTACATATCGCTATTTTATTAAATATTATATATTCTTAGTCTATGCTTATATATTCTTATTCTATTACATATTATATATTATTTATATATTCTTATATATTCATATTCTATTCTTATAAATTCTTATTCTGTACGTATATATCCGTATGATATCATATATTACATATTCTTATTATATTTGTATACATTCTTAACCTAATGAATATTATATTCATCTATTCTTATATATATATATATATTTACTCACTTACATATTATAAATTATCTATTCTTATTCTTTTTATATATATTCTTATTCTATTCTTATATATATTCTTATTATATTACATATTGTATATACTCATTCTATTCTTATATATTTTAATTCTCTTACATATTATATATTTTCTTCTATTCTATTCTCGTGTATTCTTATTCTATTATATATTTTATTCCATTCTTTTATATCCTTATTCTATTATACATTTTATTCTTTTTTCATTTATTCTTATTCTCTTGCATATTATACATTCTTATCTTATTTGTATATATTCTCATTGTACTCTTATATATTTCTGACATATATATATAAATATATATATATATATATATATATATTGTTCTTATATATTTTTTGAGCATTCTTTTTTTCATATAGAATGAATAAAACTGAAAAAAGAAAACGTATTATTTTCAAAAGTTTAACTGATAAGCCATTATGAATAAATTAGTTTGAAAATATCGTTTCAAAATATCCAAATTACGTTCAATTTTATTTTTAGTAAACAAACAAAACTCCTTGTAATTCACACAAATATTTTGACTAACACATGAGCCTTCCTGTAGTTATTTGACAGAGATAATCCGAAAGCTACTTGACTAATCTTGAATCAGAGATAATCCTTGACTTGCTAAATATTAAATAAAAATGGTTTGTAGAGTGTTTAAATACTCTTCTGTACCAACCTCGGATTAAATAAAAATAAAACCCCTGGATATACCCAGTTGTCCTGGATGAGGGGGGGGGCGTATTTATGTGTATGTGGGTGGGAAGTGATGCATGTAGCATTGCCAAAATGTTACGGGAATTTTCACATATTGAATAATCTGTTCACTTGTCAAATTATTGGGCGTTTCCCGTGTCTCACTTGACACTTTACACATCCTCTCAAAATCGCGCCACCGGTAAATAAAGAATGGCTTTTCCTATAAATTCAACTTTTCTCAAGAAAACATGTTACACACTAAGTTCCGTAAATCTTTCGATAGAACTACGTATATGAGGTATATCGTAATTTTTCATTAATAATACGTGTTCAATCTATAATACGCACCCACATTCTACTACATCTCAATTTTCGTTACAATAGAATAAGAATATTTATATAAAATACAAATTTTATTGTAATTTTATTCCATCTTAAATCAACAATGTTTTGCGATAATTTTTAACATCAACTTGAAATGCTTCTTTTTAAAAAGTTGAATATTTTAAAAGATTCAACATTATGGATAGAAAAATATTATGAATTTTATATCGTCTTTTTTTAAGTTTTATCATGAGCAAGCTAAATTGACGGATATGAACAAAAATAGACCCCACCCCCACCCAGAATGACGTCAAAATCCGTGAAAATTTTTCATCCTTTAATAATCATTTTATCTTAGTTTAATTTGAAACTTATATAAACGTAGGTAGAAAAAAGCAAATGTTGATAATGTAGCCAGGGTCACAAAGGACTGCCCGGGGCCCCCAATTAGGATTGGTTTCCTCCGGTGAAGGAATCCAGGGTAGTACACGCCGACCCTGTTCTCATGTATAATACTCATCACAGAGTATGGGCTGCGTAAATTTAGAAAAATATATCTCATGTATAATACGCACTAACCTTTTTAGAATTTGTAGCATCTAAATTTAAACTAAATGTAATATTTGTTCAACGTTTATCCAGTGCGTAACGACTAAAAATAAGAATTTATATAGGTTGCATTATGTCTTGAAACACAAAATTTATAGGAGCACTGTAAGAAACATGTTCGCCCAAGTATGCAACAAACTTGAGGTAGAAATAAGTACAGAGGAGGAGAAATGCAAATAAACCCTTGTGCAAATTAATTGAAACAAAACGAATAATTAATTTTCTTTTTTTGTATTTTTTCAATGCATATGTTAGCACTTCGTATGTCTATTCCAGGAAGTCGTCCCTTGCAGATTGACCACAGATTCTCGAATGGATTTAAATCAGGAGAGTTTCCGACCCAGTCTATAGTACTTTGATTTGCTCACTGGTAAGGCTTGCTAGTGTGTTCGTGCAGCGTTAAAATTTTCGTACGCTTCCTTGGAGTAACGTCCATTGAATACAATGGTCGTGGGACAACTAGTAGACAGTCGAGATAATAGTGTCTGGGTGTGATAAAAATCTGACACTGATGACGTAATATTTTTCAAGGCCAAACAAATTTCATCATACACCCCGAAAATAGATTCATATTACGGGCAAATAACCTAATCTGAGAAA